GTGTGTGTGTGTGTGTGTGTGTGTGTACGAAATTATGATATTAGTGATGACCGGCATTCTGTTCTACAGTGTTTCATTTCAGTTTTCTTCATCATTTTTGTATTTGTAACGTTTCTTGTCGTTTTCTTGCGATGTTTGCTATGGAAAAAGATGCTCAAATAAATCAATTTATCATCATTCGTAATATTGCAATTAATATAACGCTCAATTAAAATGTGACGCATGGAAAATGGATCGGTGAAGAAGCATCAGAGAGAGAGAGAGAGAGAGAGAGAGAGAGAGAGAGAGAGAGAGAGATCTGTAAGTTTGTTCAGAGAGGAAAATGTGAAACACATTAAGGAAAACTGAAGCTCTAAAAAGTTTCTTTTTTTTGAACACTTTCAGGGAGTTTAAAATTTGCGAACTCATTATTGATTTGTGTTCGTCATAAATGAATTTCAATAATAATTGCATATATAGAAATGACATCAAAATTCCAACTTGATAATTATTACAGTTATCAATAACGATATGTAACGTACTCAGCGAAATCTCGAAATTCTTTATGGCAAAGAAAAAAGTAATACGCAAAACTGTAAAAAAATTAATAATGGAAAAAAATGATATGTAAAATTGTAGAAAAATTGATGACATTGTGATTGTGGATAGTGGCGATATTTGAAGAGTATTGATCGTCGAGAGTAAGTCTGGATGATGATCACTTGAGATGATGTATGCAAATGAAAAATAAACTAATAAGAAAAATGCATGCACTGATGAAAAAAATTGAATTCCATTGTAATTGTGATGATATTTAAATTCTTCAAGTAAGCGGTGCTCTTTGAATGTATTCATAGTGAATAATTTGCTCATCTGGTAGAAGAAATTAATCGTAAAATTAATAGTAGATGAAATTAATAGTAGGAAAAATAGAAAAGTGAAAATTAATAGTTAACAGATCGTGACTATCTGATCACCGTAAACGATATTTTTCGAATCATACATGAAATGAATAAGGTATATCATATCTGGAGAGAGAGACAAGAATTCATCTGATGATGATCATGGTCGATAAAGAACAAAGAATAGTTTACAATGGCTAATAGCGGTTATGCAAAGAACTGTTTATAATAATGGTCACTGACAGAAAAATACAATAGAATTTTTTTAACAAATAATTTAGCGTAAGCATTGATCAGAATTGATGATAAACAATATGAATGTTAATATAGAAAGATACTTTGAGTATGCAATTATTTTTATATTACAAAGTTATTTTCCGATTAAAAAAAAATATTATTTCACTTTTTTTCCTCAATTGCATGATACCCAATCAAAACAATTAAAAAATTTCTGTAATCTTCGGCAGATTTTTTTTTGTATAAAAATGATATCACGAATTATTGACAGAGTTTGTGATGTCCAGTTTTTCCAAGAGAATTTCTCATTCTTTTGTTTGTACTCCTAATTGATAATTTGCACTAATATTTCGATTTTTGGCATATGTTTTCAAATAAATGATCGGGAGTTTAGTATCGTATTTGAATAGCAATCTAACATGTTCAGTTTTGACAGATATGATTGAAGTTTTTCAATATCGTTCGATTTACACTGTGATTTGTATCTGCCAAAAGTAAATGTGTTTGGATTGCTTTCCAAATATGAAATTGAAATTCCCGTCGTTACTTAAAATCACATGAATAAAAAACCAAAAATCGAAATAACAGTGCACACTCCCCATGCCGCCGTTCTTCTCTGGCCGTGACAAAATTTAAAAGTTCTAATTGCAATCTTTCAATTATTGGTTGATCTCAAACTTGGGTAATTAAACTTTTATTACGATAAATTTGTTAATACAACAACAAATACGATTAAAATATCAATCATGCAATTTCCATTCATATCAATTAAACATTTCAGTAACGATATCATAACACAAAGGAAAAGGGGGACCAAAAGTTGCCCCGATATGGTCCATATAACCTCTTCGTGGAAACACATCTTCATTTCTCTGAAATCTTCTGTGCGTGGCATCCTCATCCTCATCGTAGGAGGAGGATCATAGACAGTATTGCGCTTACAAGAATTAGCTCCTCTGTTAGCTTATGTATAATAGAGCTATTACAAAATTCATGGATAAACAATTGACAATTTTAGTCCATATTTTATACTACGAAATACATTCACAGCTTACATTACAATCCAACAATTTTGATTCAGAACAAAGGAATTACTTCTCCCTAAAATTTTACTCCGAAATAAAGGGATTAATTCTTCTCTGATACTTCTCGATTTTCAGCGTTACATCATATGGAAACAGAAACAAACGAATGAGAAATTTTCTTGAGAGTTTGGACATCACAAACTCTGCCAGCAATCCAAGTATCATTTTTATACACATAAAAAATCTTCCAAAAATCACAGAAATTTTAAATAGATAATTGGGTATCATACAATGTTTGTCGTGAAAACGAAACCTCAAACAAATAGCGAGATAAATTTCTTTG